GAATCGCTTTTTCCACCTACATATTTTTGTTCTCATTGCTTTGTTATCACCCAGTAGAATTGTGCTTGGACGGATGGTATGTAACGGTTGTGGATTGTGTAGCAACTCTGTTGAGCGCGTATGGCTTCCTTTGTTGTCTGTTTTTGCCCAAAATGTATATTCTGTTCTTTAGGCAGGAGATGAACGATGTGAATGCCATCAGACAAGAAATAACTCAGTTCTCGGTTAGACCAGGTTTTGTACGTGCAAACCGTGCTTTTGATAGTTTTAATTAGCGAGCTAAATCGTACAATAAGCTTTCTTAAGATCGGTGATTTTGTACCAGTGTGCCATATACTTCTTAATAAACAAAATTTGAATCCATTATTGAAGAAAATATAAGCTTTTAATGAGCACTGCATTACAAATATAGGCTTCAAGGCATAAAAACACTTATGGTTGCCATGGATTGTTTCTTTGTATGTTCTCAGGATGGCTTAGTTATCGGGAATTTTAAATTTGCTTCCCTGATGGCATGGAAGGAAATATTATTTAAGAATACAAATGGCTACGAAAGCACGAAATAATAAACAGACATTTTGCATTTTTCATTTGCATTTTTAATCTTCTCTCTTGATTGAATATTTCTTTGGCATCTGTGCTTGGATTCGACTTTAAGCCTATTCCTTATTTATGGACTAATTTCCACATATTAGCCCTTCCCTCAAACAAGGTAAAGAGTCCTTTTATATTCTCGTCCATCCATTTCCTTTTCCTATTTCGGGACTGAAGGAAAAAGCATCTATGACCTGAGCCAAAAGCCTTGTCTTGTTTTTTAGCAGCAAAACTTATTTCCGCAACATATGCTGCTTGCATGACTAATTAGGAGACACTTTGCCTCCACAATGATGTTTCCAAGTTTAGCCAAGCCTTTGGGCAGATGCTTAGATAATTAAACTGCATGAGGATGAGAGTGATCTTCGCTGCTATGAACACTAGCTACTTAAGCAGTAACTAAATAAATTGTGAAAAAAAAAAAAAGGAAAAAAAAGAGATGACTTTCTGTGCATGAATTGGGAAGGAAATGAACGATGCGAATAGCATCAGACAAGAAGTCACTCAGTTCTCGTTGAGTTCATTTAAGTTGTGTAGGCGTAAACCCTGCTTTTGATAGCTCTAATTAGGAAGCTGAATCGTACAATTTGCTTTCTTAAAATCATTTTGTTATTTTGAGTTGTGTCAATGGAGGAAAATTCATTTTATTAACTAACACTGTATTGTAAATATATATATTACTTGACTTTTGATAAAAATCACCAGAAAAACTAGTAAAGATCGTCCCTTGTTATGTTTGCAGGATGGCTTATCTGGTTGGAGGTTTTGCTTCCCCGATGGCTAAGAAAGGAAGCATTGCGGTTGAGGAAGACAAATGGTCACGTGTGCGCTGAGTAATGGAGTGACTCTTTGCATTTTTAATCTTCCTTTATGACAACATACCAGGGAGTCTTCAGAAACTGCATTAGACAAATTTTTCTTCCCTTATACAAGCTAACAAGTAACTATCTCCTCTTTCAATAAAGGTCTAGCTAGCTTCTCCGATGGCAAAATATGAAAACATTGTTTTCAAAAACATAAGGTCGCATCTGGGCAGAATGATGTTTCTATTAACTTTCTGTCTTACAATTATGTGAAATATTTATTTATTTTATTGGAAGATATTTATACACTGTTGGTACAGGGTCTCACTGGGGTGATGGCTTTTACGGCTACCGGTTAAAATTTTGGCCAATTTACAGTAAACGGTTAACACCTTTCCATTGTTTCCACCATACATATTTTTTACAGTTAACTTTTTTTACGACTAATGTTTAAAATTTGTCATTTTTTTGGCTGTGTTACGGTTAACGATTAACCCAGTGGAGACCCTCTTGGTAAGAAGGTACGTTTGAAAATTATTGTCAAGTTCAGAAAAATAATTTCTAATTAGTTGGATTGGTATTTGCATTCGAAAATTTTTAATGCGTGATAATCTGTAAAAAGTTGCTTTGCGCTAGTCTAGTTTCGAATTGCTTGTGCGAGATAGTCTGGTAACTAATTATCAGCACCAAGCCGAGGCTGAGTGGAATACGCGCTTATTTTGAAAGCAAGATTGGAGTGACTGTAAGTCGAATATGAAGATTTTGTCCGATCCTGAAACAGCAACACAAGGCTCACAACCAGTCCTGGAGCCCGCGAGTCTATTCCAGTTTGACGGACAACTTGCTGCAGACAATGAATGGGAAGGGAAGGATGAAGGAAAAGGAGATAAAAATACACATTTTTAATCTTATCATATATGGCTTGATAGCAAAGTGTGGGGGTTAACATCCTAACCCCCTGGAAACATTATCACATTAGTTGTTATAACAATAGAAATATCTTATCCAGCCAGCAGTTCGCGAGAATTGACAATCTAATAAGCTCAGTAGATGGTGTTTCCTTCATAAAACACATTATTCTCTTCACAAATCTCCGAGGAAGTCTGTAACAGCTAGGAGAGAAAATTAAGGACTAGGTCAAGGAAGTGTAAGGCTAAGAGATATCGTCATATGACCCGCAAGGCCCGGCATACGCTCCATGTAAAAACTTAATGTAAACATCCCCGTAAGAGGGCCGAGGGCAACGGCGCGAGCAAAACCAGGAAAAGCTTGTGTATCCAAATCTTAGGAAGGCGGACCAAGGGGAAGATATGGAAAAATGCTTATTGACTGATTCAGGTCGGACCGGACGGGAAAATATCTGGTTCCAAGGTTCTCCTTTGCGATAACAGGACTTGTCGTTTTGACAATATGGGCTTCTATGATGACCTTCTTTCACGCTCTCGAAACATCGAATACTGTCAACGACAATAGTCCCTTTTAAGGACTACTCTCACAAGGACGATCACTTAACAAATCCAAAGCGCTATTATCGAGAGAGAAATTACCAGATCACCATCGAGGTTAACGAAATTTTGGTAGAATACACTTTGGCCTGGTCAATTTTATGATGCTGCACATGTAGTTTGTAAAGGAGAGTTACATGAATTTTTCTTTTTAATAATCTTCCTTTTAATGCGAGTCTCTGGAATATTCTCAATATTTTACTTTTAGAATGAATTAAACGTTTCATAAACTCCACCAGTTCTCACAATTACAATGAACCTTCGTGGGCGCACTAAGCGGATCCTTTCACTAAGAAAAGTAGTCTCCACAATAGGCCATTTCCGAATTAGCTTTTGCCTCTTTTTCAAAACGAAGCCTGGTGCTCAACTATTCGCATGAAAAAGACATCAATTTGTCTGTGAATGAAAACTTAAAATCATATGAAAGGATGAGCACCAGGTCTCGCTTTGAAAATGAGGCCGACGGTGATTCGGAAATGGCCTATTACATTTTTTACATTTTGAAGTGTTCCCCTCGCTTGTAATTTGGTGAGGACATATGCATTGTGTTTTTTACTTCGTTAAATAATATGACATTTATTTACCAACTGACAGTGCCCTTGAAGTGAGAGAAGCGCATCCGACAAGGCAAATTTGAGGATTTATGCTGCTGAGGATCGAAGAAAAGGAAAGGCAAAAAGCTCGCGCAAGAGATTTACCAATGATGTTTCTATAACAGTAAGATAATTACATTTCCTTCTCTCTGTTAAAAAGATGTTAATTTATTCTGATTTTCTAGTGTAAATAGCGAAGTCTTTTTGGCAGGTGTAAAGGCTATTGCAACTCTTAGATAAGGGCTGTGAAAACTGAAAACTTTCTTACACCAATCAACCGGAATGCTCGATAAAAATTGATAGAAAAATTTCACATTCAGTGGGATTGTAATAAGAAATGAAGAAGCTAAGGAGATTTGCTTTCGATTTTATCAGTTTTTTGTAGCTGACACACGGCTTCGATCTACTTTAACCAAACTTCCGAGATAAATCCGGTAGTCGTCTTTAATTGGTTTTTAAAGCCTTGGTTTTCATGTTCTCGTTTTGATGTTGTGTTAGCAGATCAACTTCAAAGGTAGCTGTCAAAATTAATTGATATCATTAACTCTAAAATTATGGATAGCCGTAGCCGGGAGAAGTAACAATAAAGAAGACAAAATTCTTAAAACTATCCTAAACACCTATCTGGCGCAGTCTTTTTATCATCGCAATGGGAAATTACTTCTCGAACTTGACCAATTTTTTGGTCATTAATTTGACGGATAAAATTACCTTAAAACCAGATCGGCGCTCAGCATGACATAAAGTGCTAAATTAGATGAGTTCTCATTTATTATCATATTTCTTGATTTACTTTTCTTTGCAAAGGAAATCCTAAAAAAATTTACTCACAAATGAACCAACAGCTGAAGGTTGCGTCAAAAGGGGACAGTGTTATGTGTGTTCTTTCTAGTTGGTTACAAATCTGTCTGTGTTAACGTCGCTCGCTGAATAAATACGAAAGATTCGCCGGCTTTCAAATTAAAAGATTTACTGTCTATATTTGCTTAGTGACGATCAAAATTGACGATGAGTTGAGGTGAGCCGTAAAGCCGTAAGCCATTCTTTAATTAGTGCTTCAATTCTAACAATATTACATCGGCAGTTTGTATGATGACACTTCTGTCAAAATGACTCTTTTGTCATCTCGTTTTCGTTTTGCAAGAGGACATGCTGTCAAACCTTCAGAGAGCTTTTCGCCAGCACCTGCGTCTTAGACATACAGAGAGAAAAAACTACAAGGGAATCAGCAGTTACGCGCAAGAACTGGTAAAGTTTGCTTAAAATTCTTACTTGGAAGAACAGCATTCACACCAACACATATGCAGTTCAAATATGGTACCTTTCCACGGCAGAAACGGAAAGTAGTAACGAAATTTTAAAATCAAGGAAAATTTTCACCCAAGAAGACTGAATCCAGTTCTTCTTGACGAGAAAGGTTACAGCACTGATCTTCTCTCTCAGGCCGGCTGAAGCACTGACAAAACCCAAAAGCTGTAATCGTTCAGTTGTTGTAGATCAGAAGCATGAGCGTCGCATATAGAAAGAACAACATGGAAAATGACACAAAGTCCGAAATGGCTGATCTTGGCCCTGCAGTTACAATTGTCGAAACCTGCGTTTGTCTTCTTTTGAACATCATATCGCTAAACGGGAACTTTTTGGTGTGTTTAGCCGTTTATAAAAACTCGCGCTTACGAACTACGACCAACATTTATATTATCGGACTGGCGTTAACCGACTTACTTTCAGCTACGTTTGTGATGCCATTCACTTCTGGTGTCCTTATAACCCGAAAATGGCCGTATGGAAATCTCTACTGCAACATACAAGCGTTTCTGGTGAACTTTGGACTATTTACCTCTACTTCGATCATGGGACTCACAGCCTTCAACAGATACGTAAGAATTGTTCATACAAACAGATACAATAACATATTTTCGAGATTTAAATCTCGTACTATACTAGCGTCGTTGTGCGTGATCATAGCCTCGTACATCGCAATACCAGGCTTGACTGGATTGCAAAATTTTGAATTTGTTCCTGAGTATGCCACCTGCCATATAACACATGCAAGTGAAGAAGTCATGATAGTTCATTACTGCGTTGTCGTATTTTTCTTTCTGGTTTTTCCTTTCAGTTTGGCAACATTCTGTTACGTCAAAGTGTTTAGGACTATTACGCAGCATAATCTCGAAGTGGCCCCAAATTTACAATCGAGAATTCGCGACGCTCAGATCACTACCCAAGAGATAAAAATTTCAAAATCTCTTTTCGTGGTAGTGTTAGGATTCGGAATGTGTTGGATACCCGCATGGATGCTAGCTTTGATAATGCGCTTTAGCGCTTTTCCATCTTTGCCTAGAGAATTTTTTCTCATTCACACCGCCTTAGTTTTCCTAAGCAGCTCTACTAATGTATTCATTTATGCAGGAATGAACAACTCGTTCAAAGCAGAATTTCGACGTTTGCTATCTTGTGAAATTCGTGTCAAATTATCTGCCAAGGTTTCTCCGAATTTCGGCGGACGAAGACCAGTCGAACTACGCTTTCCGCGTAAATTCAGTGGATAACCCTGCGTTTGTGATTTAGTGAGTTGGGTGAGAATCGTATGATTTCAAGAAGGCTAGAAATTTAAAATTTGAAGCAGTGACACTAGTCAAACAGATGATATCTCCAGATATTTTGTGGCTAAATGAAGGTAGAAACTTAGTTGTCATGCTAATGACTAATGTAACTGGTGCCTTTATCGGCTCTGTTCACACAGTCAAACGAGAAAGGTCCTCAGGAACCATTTCATTATTAGAGTTTAAAAGATTTAAGTTATTAAGTCTGTTATAAATTTTATGATCTTATGTTTAAATTTTTAAAATGAAAAATAAGAAATTAGAAGAACGCACTGAAATATTTGTTTTCTAACTCGCCTTGCTCTCAGTTTACTGCCAAACTAGACAAGTATATTTACCGATCGGTCTTGCTGTCCAAAGATCCATGGTCTAAGTTGTAAGAAAAAGGAAAATTAATTTTCAAAAAAAGAGAACGTGTATGGAAATAAACAAAAACGATGTCACGCGTATAAACTTTTCTTTTGATTTCTTAAAGCTAAAACTAACTGTATTTTATTTGTAATTTTTATTGTATGTACGGGCAGGCTTTCCACTGTAAAATGACAATATTTAGAAAAGACTTAACCCTTTGATTGCTAGCTTGAAGTGCGAAAGACATAAATCTATCTTAAGTTAGCACCTAAATTATTATCATATGTTAGATCCATGGAAACCGCAGTAATAACAATGATAAATTGAACGATAATTACTTGTCAAAGTAAGCTTTCTTATGAAAACATATATGATATCAGAATCAAAAATTTTCTTAACAGGAAATGCTTGTGTATCACTCATCTACTAAAGTTCTCCATGTTTTTCTGTAAAAATTGATTTTTTTGTCATTTTTGTTACATAATTATATCCTCAGGTCTGATATGTCTTTCAGACACGCTGTGAAGGAGCGTGGTTTGGTGTACCAACCGAGTTTAATGCCTCGGTGCGTTGACATATTTACCTAGGCCTGTTATATGTGCATTAGGAAAAACTGGAAATGAACAATCAAAAGATAAAAGATAGTACCTAAAGCTAAATGGAATATCCATTTCTCTTGTACTAAAAGACATTCAGACAATCAGAAAAAGTTTTGACAAACGAATAAAAGGCCTTGTCAAAGCCGTTTTAGTACTCTTTCAGAGAAACAATATTAACCCTTTAGGTCCCTTTCGTATTAGACGTAAATTAATTTAACCATCTCGTTTCCAGCGAAAAAAAGAGGGACGAAAATCGAGAGCAATATTGGAAGCTGAATGGTATCAAAAATAGTACTGGTACTTGTAATAGCCGGACAGCGTTTATAAGTGTAATGTTAATAGGATTGTGCGGAGTGCCAGATCGGTCTGTATTCATACGAGTTATTTAAAAAATCAAACGACAACAGCAACTTGTGTTTACGATTTATGATAGTTACGGCTCAAATTAACATACAGATATGACCAAATACGCATTTCCGCAAAATGGTTCAGCGAACAAAAATAACCATGATGAAAAATGAAGGCTGAATATTGGAAACCGAAGACCCTTTTTCCTCTCTGCATTTAAAGCTTATCGTTACGTACAATTTCAAGTTATTTATCAATGATGATATACACCACTCCTTCTTTCATTCAGCGATAACCGTTCAAATACACGGACATCTGTAGGATCAAACCCCTAATCAAATCTGGAAGACAGCTGGGTTACTTCTTGATGATAGAGAAAATTTCTCTTTGTTGCACTGCGAACTTGAGGCGTTGAAGTCCCGTCGAAGCATTATAATTTTTTAATAAAAAATTAAACTTACATACCCTTCTATGCTTTCTCGACTTTACTTTCTGCTAAATCACTATTTCTTCGGATTTACACTTACATTTAACTGAATTAAGCATCTTTGCCCAGTAGAATATCGTGCAATTTTTAAATTCAATATCAATCTTTCCTTTCTGTGACTTTCAGAAACGGTAGAGCAAGAATAGCTACTCCCTCAAATTCCCAAGAATCCATTGGCCAATTTCTGCTAAACTTTGAGCCAATCTGTTTAAAATGGGAAGAAACATTTACCCTGAATTTGCAGTTATAAATAAAGCATTTGCTTAAGTTCAAGCTAACCACTTTCAACCGAAAAGAGACTTCACGGAATGGTCATGTAATTGGAAAACGTTTTGCTTCTTTCCTGTAAATCCTAATATTGAGGAAATATCGTTAGGCATTAATCCTCTAAATTGCATCCAGCATTCCGCTTTATCTTGAATCAGTGACTGAGATAAATTGAATTAGTTTCAATTTCTTGTTTTAGTATTTCTCGTTCAATGTTTCTATAATTTTATGTTGTTGCTGATACCAAGTCTGGAGATGTAACGAAACAACGTCTGAAAACAGAAAATATAGATGAGAGCAAAGTGACAATACGGTGAATTCGAGGATACACCGTGGAGAATATTACAAGAATATACAGTGACTGTACTGAAAGCCAGCGGTTGTTTGATTTATAGAAAAGGAATTAAGTTCACACAATGATACACCATATCTAACAATCGGTCCGCCATCTTTAATAACACGCATGCTCTCCCCAGACTCCTATGGCCGTGCTAACACCACGAAAATTGTATTATGAATCCCCACAGTATTCATTTCCTTGCCTTGGATATTCACGAGTTAAAACAATGAGTGATATTTTGGTCAAATGAGAATAACGCGTCAAATTTCTCAAACTAGTGTGCCCGGTCATGAGAGGACCACAATTTCACCACCATGATCGCACCTGAAAATACTGATACATTATTTATGAATTTAGACGACACTTTTTGTTCGATTAATAAAGACTTCCATAATTAGTTTAATCGGTTTAGTGACAGGGATTGAAATAAAACGAAATATAACACAGTTGAAGAGTTCATTGATTTATTTTGATATTGCACCACACTGATCTGTGTATCATTATCTTTTTTAGAGAAAATTAGAACTACAGAAATCTCTAGGGAACAAATACAAAAAGTTATATTTTGGTGGAAATGACAAAAACTGTCATTCTTCATCAAATTAAAAAACCGAACTGTATATTGTCACAAGGCGGAGTACAATTCCACCACCAAACCAAACTTGAAAAGTTGGATATAGAGAGACAGTTTCCATGATGTTCGAAAGACACGTTTTACACGATCAGCCATGAGTACTTGTTTCTCCTTATCAACAGCAAAGAAGAAAAATATTCGGCAGTTGAGTTTTTTTTAAAATTTATTTTGTTCCTTTTTCCTACATCTTTGATATTTTGGACCTTTTTTAAGCACTAGACTAACATTGAGACGACGTTCCTTAGAATATCGCTATGGCAATCTGAGAATAATTTTTGTTACCTAATACTTCCCTTTCAGCCTTAGTTCTAAAATTTTCAGAGACAAATTAAACTTATTTCAAGAACTATAGAAGAACTATACCGTGTAGAACACGGCCTAGTAGACACATCATGCATGGGAGAATTATTTCCCTGTTCCATTTATCTTTTTTTTTTGCGCTGGTAGAGCACAGCTAGCTTATTAGACACTAGTTGACCGCTTTAAAAAACTGGGCTACGAAGCCTCTCTTGCATGTGAGCGAGGCAACTCTTACCCGTAGAGGAATCTGTTCTCAATTTTCAATGATACAGTCGAACCTGTTTTAATCGGTCACCAACAGGGAATGGCGAGTTGACCGCTTGATAAAGGCTCCACAGATTAGAGGTATTGCGAAAAACGACCCACAAAGCCAAGCCACTTTATTCCATAATTGACCACTTTATACACTAAATCTCGCTCAAAAATATTACTGTGATTTTGGAAGAGAAACATGGATTAAAAACTACTTGAAAGATTATTCTTATTTTCATTTGAGTGGTTCGACTTTAAGTGATATTTCATACAGGTGGAAGATGATACAAACAGGCCATTATGACTCAGTAAAGGATGATCGCTCAATAGAGGTGACCGTTTAATAGAGGTGAAAATTACAGTGATAGTTTTGGACCTTTGGCAACCGATTGCTTGACACGGGTGCCGCTTAATACAGGTTCGACTGTTTAAATTTTATTTGATCCGCGGATGAAATCAAGTAAAGAAATTATTCTGGCTGTTGGACTGTATTGAGCAATATTCTGAGATAACTGAGACATATTTTGGCGTAAAGTGGACAAAGTGTCATTTACCTTTAAGTAATAAAGTCACCTGGAAACCCACCCTCTTTCCACGGAGGCTACAATTCCGACCTCCACTAAAGATGATGAAATGTCCCTGAAAATACTGGAACATTATTCATGCATCAGTTAGCAAATCTTGTATTACCCAACTATTACAGCTTATGAACAGCTTTGAAATAAACCAAACAATTTGTGCGGATAAATTGTCTTATTGTGTGACAATGGCGCTTTGATCTTCGGTAAAGAACTTACACAAAGTGTCGTTGATAGTGAAATAATGTATGGTTCATTTTCGGCGCCAGGTTCAAACTTTTTAAGGGAAAAATGATGTTTTACCTTAGTTTATTTTGAAATTTTTTTAATTCTTTAAAAATCTCATAAGACGAAAGAAAAGGAATATAGCTAAAGTAATAAAACTATAAGTAATAATTGATCAAACAAACTATCAAGGGAACTGGTGCCTCAGTAGCAAGCCATAGGCTGTGGAATTCATAACAATTATGTCACCGTAGACTTCACCTTATTAAACGTACATAAACAGCTGAGAACCATTCGATTGCCGTTCATCATTGTTCCCTGGAGCACATCAGTGTCAGACGAACGACGTTACAAAGGAAACGTGTTTCCTCCTACACCATGACCCTTTGGATGATCATTGTCTTTAGTGCTACTTTAGTGGCACCCTTTGATACAGCAACAGAAGAAGACAGCGGAGGTTAGTCGTATTTTCCACTACTGATACAATGTAATCAAATATGTAGTTCAGCTATCTTTACGAAAGAAATATCAGCTTATTTTATCGCCAGATAGAATAAAGATTCCTGTTTGATAGCAGATTTGACCATGGCTTTACTTCTTGAATTTAGGCTAATTTAGTATTATCAACTGAGTTGATAGCGTAAATTGGCCATCGTAGAGAGTTTCTAAGCTGACGTTTCGAACGCTAGCCCTTCGCCTATTGCCAACGAACGGCTCTCAAGAGATTTTAAAGTCATTAAATATAGACTACCATGTGCGAGCCATA